AGCAGAGAGCTTCCTCTTTCTCCTGTGAAGCAGCCGGTAGACTTGAACTGCTGACTTTGCGGTTAGCAGCCTAACGCAAAACATGCTACTCCTTGTTTTATGCTTTAGTTGGTTGATGTTATGCTCTCATGTAATGGATTGTATACAAGTAAAAATGGATATACTTTTGTTACTTATACTCATTAGCAAAATTACATTTCCATCTTCAAGACAGTATTCTAGATCTTTTTCTTCTTCTTGGGTAATATGAAGCCCCTAAAAGTGCTGAAAACTTAGTGGTAAATAAGCCAGAAACTAAGTGGTTGTGAGGTCCTTAAAAAACAATACTGTGTTTTTAATGGAGTAATATAGGGTGAGAAACTAAAGAGGTTTTGCTTTCCCTGCATGTGTTTCTCACTCTGAAGTTAGAAAAGCAGCTCAGTCTGATTGAGCTAGGTGGGGGGTACAGAACTCGTCAGGTTTCACATATGAAAGCAAATGCTTAGAAACAGAATTAGAAGCCAATGTACACTAAACTCCTAGTGTTAACTGATGGCAGCTCTAATCTGTACTCAAAAAGTAGACTGTGAACAGTTGAGCGCCGACCCCTGTGTCCTTGCCAGGAACGGGTCCTGCACACTCTGTAGCAGTGCTAGAAATCAGAATGCAGGTGTCTGTATTTGTCCCCAGCACTTCAGAGAGTGACAGACTTTCAAGAGGGAAGGTACTTCACAAAGACTCTTGGCCCAAACCATGGGGTCATAGCAAAAACCCATGTTTCATGGAATCTTTATGTCTTACATGGTATCAATAAAAGTAAAATTAACAACAAAAAGCAAAAAAAATAAAAAATAAAAAAAAACATTAGGAAGATTTCCAAGGTCAAATATGTTTGAGACACTCAAAGCCAATCAAAATCAAGTATGTTCATTGAGGCTTCATTATTCTACTATGCACAAGAGTTATTGGGTCTGGGAACTCTTTTGGAAAGGATAGGCTAAGGAGCCCTGGTGACACTGTAGGGTTAACACTGGACTGCTAACTTTTAAAAAAATAAATTTATTGTGAACTGAGTGATAGTTTTCATGGGAGAACATTGGCTTTACACCATCGTTTCATTGCAATTATTACAATCTCCTCTGTGCATCATTCAACAGTATTTGCTTCCATTCTGTTTTTTCTTTTTTTGGGGTCTAGGGAGTGGGGAGATATGCACAAAAGCACTCAGGAATATATAATAATTGAAACTACCAAAGGGCACATTCTGCAAGCCTGCCTCCTGGCCACCAGCACTCAGTTCCTCTCTTCCCATGAGTCTACAGTCCTCAGCGGCTCCCTTTCTCCATGTTCTCATCTCTGCCTCCATCTGTGGTGTCGCTGCTTCTCTGGATTGGGTCCCACATTCCGCTTCTGCTCTTCTCCCTTGATGGTCCTAGGGTCCTCTGTTTCTGGACTGTAAGATTAACCACTCCCCTGTTTTTGTTATAAAACTTCTACCTTTACAATTGTAACAATCGCAATTAGTCATGATAACAGTTATTCACTATTGAATCATAAGAATCTTATTCCCATCTCCTTTCAACAGATCTTGTCCATCTAGACAATATGAAAACTGTTCAGTGGGGACTCTATCTTCCCCCGCACACTCTTAAACTAAACTCCCTCTTGAAAACTTGTCAGTCAGTCGCTTCGTGCCTTTATTGTTGTTGTTAATTGCCGTCGAGTTGATTCCGACCCATAGAGACCTTGTATAGGGTTTCTGAGGAGCAGCTGGTGAGCTTGAACTGCTGACCTTGCAGTTCAAATGTCTTTGCAGTCTGTCACATTATCCCACATTTATAGCCCCCTCATTTTAGGTTGTTGTTATTATGTGCTGCGGAGTCGGTTCCGACTCATAGCGACTCTGTACAGGGTTTC